GAAATTTGTGGTTAAAATCGGATGCAGCCCTATCACCAAGAGCTGTACGACTGTTTAAAGCCTTACTATCTGGCTGGATACCCTACGTCTCTACGGGCTACCCCATTATTATGGTTCCTCCACAAGAATTAGGCCAACTGGCCGGCACCAATCTATGGTTTTTAAGGTGGTTGTTGACTTGTTATCTCCTTGCATGCTTTGCTGTATTGACACGATTCCTGTCAGTAACAGGCCTTATCCGGGCACTATGTCTCTACCCCAAACCTATTACATTCTTGCTAAAAATCAAATTGAAACGTCGCCTTCCCTTGCAAAAGTGAAATAAATCTATTAGTTTTTTTATTCTGAACAGAGCCTTTCTCTCCTCTAATGCAATCCGCTTTTAGCTAAATGCATTCTTTCAATGATAATTGTTTTGTATATATGAAGCAGGTAATCATAAATATTACGTTACAAATCTACAATCAACACCGTAAAGGAATCAAACATCCCTAATATTATACAAATTAAAGGGTACCCCATGGGAGCAATGCTTTGCCAGGAGACCATTAACATTGTCTTTGAGACTCCTGGAAACCACACCAACCATGGCTAAATTTGCTCTCAACAAACAGTAGACAGCATCATTTGATATCTCGTTTGGTGTTTTTTTCATCATTTTTATAATTCTATGATGACAGACTATGTTGAGTCATGCTTTTTGATGACCTTTTTATTGTTGCTAGTCATAAAAGCACAAAGTTTAATGGTTTTTTTAAGTTAAATATATTTTGATGGAAAGAGCAATTGGTGGATTCAATCACAAGATAAAGAAATCATTCTAACTGACCCAAATCATTGTTTTATGTAGTCGGGTGGACAGTGGACACCATAGTCAGGAATCAAATGGAAATCTGTCACTTCCTAGGTCTGTAGACAAATCAAACACGTCATGTGAAATTAGATCTGCCACGACATTGAAATTACTGAAAAGCACTTGTCTGATAGAAAGAACGGTATTATTTTTTTTTTTTTTGCTCCTGAAAACTTTCTGATGGGGAAACCAAGGGTTGCTCCCTGGCAAGGTTCATTGCACGCTTCTGCTTCTGAAAGGCTCAGAGAAGGACTCTGATCAGCTGTTGGGTGAAGAAACTGGGGCAAATGGAATATTCCTGGGGTGTATCTACACCCTGAGAGCAGATAGGAACTGTTAAAGGGAGCCGTGAAGACTTAAAAAACAGGCGAATTCTCACGACTTTCTGGTGCTAAAAGATTGTGCAATGAATTTGCTGGCAATCTTGTTTTGTCGTCTACCAGGGGGAGCCCTGGAGTACGTGGCGATTGTTCCATCGTCGGCGTTGTTTCTCTCTCACCCTAATGATTGGAGGGTATAAATATTGGAAACCAATCAGCTTGATTTCAGAAAGAACACCCAACGCCTACGAGTCGCCTCGCAAACCTTAACTCAGAAAATAATAGAAAAAAAAAAAACCAAAAGAAATCGTCTTCTGGTCATCCTCACTATCTAATCGCTGCATATTTTGACGCAGCAAAACGGAAAAGACTGCTTCCTTGAGAAATAATGTGGCATTGTCCCTTCTCTCTGGACTCCATGGAATTTGATCGAGCTTTCATCAAAAACGTGAAGCGTCTGGTCGTCAAGGTCAGCTGCAAAGCAACCTGCAAAACTTACTTTCCCATATGGCTGATTTTCCATTTCCATGTGCAACATCATGTTCATGTGCATGTCTTTTCTGAACTGTTCTGGCAATTTGGCATGCCAATTGCCATGCACAACCCTCCCCCTTTTCGAAAGACAAAACATTCAATTTTATTTTTAGAACAATAAAACATAGTACAAAATCTTGAGGAACATATGTATTTTTGGTCCAACCAAAACAATATTATTTAAGTTTTTGGAGCCTTGCTGCCCTGGCAATATATTTACATGTATTAAAATAAACCCTCTTTTACACTTCTAAATTTAGCTATTTATATGAAAAATTAATCAAATGATTTTGAATATTAATTAGATCCATAAAAAATATAGGTCCATAAAAATCTAATCCTCTTCCACATGAAACCATGTGACAAGACAAACAGAAGGGACTGAATTTGATTTGGATTTTTCGATCTGCTTGATATCACTATGAAACCATATGTTGCAGCTGTTGCTAGGTGATTGGGCATAGGGCGATACATAGGGACATGACGAACTATCAGACTTTTCTTCTTTCAAACTCTTAAAGTTTCAAGTTTACATGTGAATTCTCCTATCATGAATTATTTCTGTTGAGAATATTCAACATATTTCTTTTCCTAGAAGGACCTCCATGATGTAACAATGGTGCAATATTTGTAGCTAGAAGGCAAATCATTGTAGGTAAGGGTGAGTATTGATCTATGTCTGATAAGTTCGATTAGTTTGATTTGATTTTTTTTTTATTTTGATATTAATCAAATAGAATGTTAATATTTAGAAATTTCAAAATATATTATATAATATGTATGTATTTGGTTAAACTAAAGACATTTCAGCTTATTATATATTAAAAATTAAAACGAATTTAGATAAATTAATTCAAAATATATCCGATTTTAAGAAAAAATTCGATCAATTTTAATTATTTAAAATTCAAGATCGAACGGAGGAAACCGATCTAATCCTCACTGATTATCAGGAAGATTGTAATTTAATTTATTCGGAAAGATATTTATAGGATTTAATTTATACTATCTTTCAAAATCTTGTTGGATGTCTATAAAGAGACAGACTAAATTTCCTGATAAAAAAAAGTAACGAAGAATCCGAAGAAACGGGGGCGCGTGTCCCTTAATCAGTGGAACCCTTCCTAGTCGCTCGTCAGGTAGTAAATTAATAATAATCTTTGTCATGTCGTCATCTCTGTCCGCATGTGACTGCTTCTGCCACGATTCCCCTACGGACCAATCCACGCTGAACTCCTGAAACAAACCATAAACAATTTTTAATTTTTATGTTCCTTTTAAAGTTTTTATTTAGTTTCATCCCTCTATTTCGGACCACTATATATTGGAACTACTTCGACGTGGCAAACCGCTGCGGCTGCCTCATTATCATCTTCTCAAACTCAGTCTGTCACACTCGGCCCACGGGAAAGAAAGAAAGAAAGAACTGATCGCCTGACTCGACCGAGTCGATTTTCACTCGATTAAAAATGGACTCCATGGATCCTTCTCGTGCTTTTGTGACAAATGTCAAGCGTCTCATTGTCAAGGTTTCTGTTTTTTTCTTTTTCTGGGAAAAATGTTGAACCGGTTTCTTGAGTTTTTGGTTAATTTGGTTTGTTTGTTTTTTTTTTTGATAATGTGGTTTTGATT